CCAAACAAGTTCGTCTACCATTTAATAATTCTTCATCTATGTCTGTTAAACTTTTTTAGTTAATCCATTCTGATTTATGGGGTCCATGTCGAATTGATTCATATGAAGGTTTTAAATATTTTGTGTTGTTTATTGATGATTATTTCCGTGCTACTTAGATCTATTTATTGAAATCTAAGAATGAAGGATACCCTATTTTCAAGGATTTTCATAGCATGGTACCCACTCAATTTGATAGCAAAATAAAGACTTTCGTTCGGATAATTGGACGAAATTTGCCAAGGGTCCCCTTCCTGCCTTTCTTCATAATGAAGACATTATACATCAAACTAGTTGTGTTAGTACGCTCCAACAAAATAAAGTAGCCGAAAGGAAAAATCGACATATTTTGGAGACTACAAGAGCTCTCATGCTTCAAATGAATATTTCGAAGAAATTTTGGTCACATGGAGTTTTAACAGCTGAGTACTTGATAAATAGGCTTCCAAGTCGTGTAATCAATTTTCAGACACCATAGGAAGACTTAAAAAAGAGAAAGCCTGATACGTCTCACTCTCGAGTATTTNTGTACTTGATAAATAGGCTTCCAAGTCGTGTAATCCATTTTCAGTCACCATTGGAAGTCTTAAAAAAGAGAAAGCCTGATACGTCTCACTCTCGAGTATTTGGTTGTGTTTGTTATGTGCACCACCAGAGCTTGCATCATAATAAATTTGATCCTCGTTCCATCCTATGCATTTTCTTAGTATATTCTTCGACAAAAAAGGGATATACATGCTATGATCCTCAATCCTAGAAGCTATTTGTATCATGAGATGTGAGATTTGCTAAGAATGAACTATATTTTTTGACTCAGAGTTCAACCAAGATTTCATCTCAGGGGTAGAATTTGACCGATTTGTTTCCACTTCCCACTATATGGACATCTTCTTTTGATATTGCAAGTGCATGCGAAATTGAAACCACAATACAGACTGGAGATACAAGAGAAACCGAAAATGATGAAGACAATGGGGACAACAGATGTCCTTTATCGCCAATTGCTCATGATGTTCCAGAATATGTCAGTGTTGTACCAGATACTTCCGAAAAGATTCTTAGAAGGTCAAATCGAACATCCAAGGCTCCAGAAAAATTAAAGGACTTTGTTACATATGAAGGTGTCTGTCATCTATACAGTCGCATTTATCATACTC